CGGTGAAGGGTGCTGCCTTCCTCTCCTCCTGCCCGCAGGTCCATCCCTGACAACGCCAACTCGCCACCGTCGCGTCATGATGGATGACAGCAGCTCGCCGGAGTCCCCGTGGCGTCCAGTCGCCGGCATCGTATTGGTGGTGGTCTGGATCTGTCGCCTTCGGCCCCGCATCGACGGGATCTGTCGCCGGCTTGAACTCAAAGGTCCAAGCTCTTTGGAAGTTCGCCGCGGGAAGGAGGAGAGGAGCGCGGCGAGGCCACCGAAGGTGGGGGAGGAGAGCGCGGCAACGCGATAGAAGGTGGGGGGGAGGGGGAGGGGGAGAACGCGGCGGCGAGCCGGAGAAGACAGTGAGGGCGAGGACCGTGGCGGCCAGCCAGAGAAGACAGTGAGGGCGAGGACCGTGGGTTCGGTCGGAAATAAATGGAGGGGGTTTTCGCAAAACAAATGTCGCGACAACTAAATCGGAATGGAGGGAGTACCTTTCCTTTTTTTCCTGATTTTGTGTTTCTATTAAGTATTTTTCATTCTTATTTTCCATACTTATTTTCCATATATTTCCTTCCTTTCTTGTTGTTTTTCTTCGTGTAAATATGTGAGCAACATTTTCAATAAGGGGTGTACAAATTTTTAATACGCGACAAATATTTTTGTAAATTCATGATAAATATTCCACGTTCCAAAATAAATGTCTCAACTTTGAACTAACTTTAGTACAAAGTTGTACTAAACTTGAGACACTTATTTTGTGGTGGAGGAAGTATTATTTAAATATGTGATAATCATTTCTAATATTAATGATTAACATTTTTTGGGTGCATGATGAACAACTTCTAGATAAACAAAGAACACTTTTCTAAATACACGACGAACATTTTTGAATATGCGGTAAAAAAATTCAAATACATGATGGATACATTTTAGAAACATTTTCAATATTTATTTAGATACATGATGAACATTTGAAAATAATTTTGATCTTTTTAATGCACCTAAATATTTATCCAAACATATCAAAGATTTTCTAAATACGATATGAATATTCATTTCAAATAACACATAATTTTTAAAACACAAGATTATATTTAATTATTTGAATTAATTTTTTACCCAAAATATTTTTAAAATGTGTCATTTAGAATACCATGGAGTATATAGGGGGCGGAAAACAAGAAAGTCAACAAATAAACAAAAGTGAACAAATATAGAAAAGCACCAAAGAAATGTTGAAAAATCAAAAAAAAAATGCGAACAACCCGAACGTGGGGTCAGTGATGGATGGACTGGGGTTAGTGATGCGCCGGACTAACGTGACGAACGAGCCTGAGCGCGCCCGAGCTACCTCTTATCCGCCCTACATTTGAACTGAATATGAGGGGTGTTGTACAGCCCGATCGTTTAAAGCCGGTTTGAGGCTCCCGGGTGGGTCGGGTTTTTTACCAGTCAGTAATCAATCCGTCCGTCTGGACGTTCCTGGCTGGTTTGAGGCGCCCGACTATAGATGCTCTTAGGGCATCTCCAGCCGCGCCCCCAGGAAGGCCTTCCCAGGCGATTTTTTTGCGCCGGCGCCGAAAAAACGGCCCAGTCGCGCCCTCAGGAGCCCGATTTTCGTCGGCTTGGGCCGAAAACAGCGCCGGCGGACCCAGCCCGAACCCGACGCGCTGGGGGGGGCCCGGGGGCGCCGGGGCGAGCTGTTTTGGCGCGAAAAAGACACGGGCCAGCCGCGTCAGCGACTCGGCTCCTCGTCTTCCCCCAACGGCCTCGGTTCCCGCGGGGAATCAATGGCAAGGCTGCCGCCGGTCAGCCTTGCCATTGATTCCTCATGGGCAGCGCTTCACGGGACGGCGCGCCGACGCCTCCCCTCCCTCGCGCGCGTATACACGGGCGCGGCCCGGCTATAAAAGCCGGCGGCCTCCACTCGCCTGTGCCCACACCAGCCCCGCCCCTCGCCGCCGTCCAGCCCCTCCCTCTCCCTGCCTCTCCCGAGCGCCGCCGCCCAGCCCCTCCCTCTACCTCTCCCGAGCCCGCCCAGCCCCGCCGTCGCCATGGCAGAACGCTTCCCCGGAGACGAGGCGGCGGCCAACGGCTTCGGCTGCCGTTCGCTCCGCGAACAGGAGTCCTGGTTCCTGTTCCAGGCGAACATCCCGGCGCCGCCGGACATGCGCGCCGGGCCAACGGGGTGGAGACTCAGCGCCGGGGGAGTGCCCATTCCCCCGTTGCCCGACGCCGTGGCGAAGCCGAAATACTTCGCCGAGGAGGTCGAGATCGTGCGCGCGTCCTTCACCGACGCCCAACTCTCCCCCCCCCAGTACGCCGCCGACAACCACGCGGCCTGGGCGGCGTATTTCGAGCGCCGCCAGCAGCAGCAATTGGCGTCCACCAACGGCGCGTCGGTGGTCGGCGGCTGGCAGAACAGCGAGGGGCGCCACCTCTGGTGGGGCGTCCCCGGCCGCACACTCGAGGGCGTGCTCACGTACCTCGAGGGCGGCAACGACCCGCCATTGGCGTACCCCCCGGCGCAGCACCGATGCGTCGGGCCATGGGCGCCAAGGAGGTTCGGGTCCTCCTCCTCCTCTTCCTCCTCCCGATCCTCATCGCACTCCTCCGGCACTCCGGCCCTGCTCGGCGTCAAGGCCGAGCCCGCGGCGGAGTCGCCGCTCGGCCGGCGCACTCGCAGCGCCGACATCGTCATCAACGAGGGCGGCCGGCGCGCCTCCTCCTCGTCGGCTCCTCCGTGCTTCGTCAAGCCAAAGACGGAGCCGGGGCTGGCGCCGGTGAAGACGGAGCCGGGGCTGGCGCCGGTGAAGGCGGAGTTCGACGACGACGATGCGGCCCTAGAATGGGCGCGCCAGGACTCCATTGCGATGGAGAAGGCGCGCCGGGAGAAGGTGAAGGAGCGCCAGCGCGCCGTCCTGCGCCGCTTCGAGGAGCGCCGACGCGGCCGCGATGAAGACGGGGTCGTCGTCCTATGCGACAGCGACGACGACGGCGACGACGACGACGACGCGCCGCCGCCAGTCCGCCATGGCGACGCCGGGTCCAGCAGGGGCGGCCGCGTCAAGGAGGAGAAGGCCGACGACGAAGATGGCGGCGACGACTTCAGCCCCTTTCTTTTTTAGATTAGGTTAATGTAATGAAAATGCGCAAATTTCGCTGAAATTTGCTATGTTTAGTCGAAATTTAACTACTTTTTATCATAACTTCGCCGAACGGCCTTTTTTTTTTTAATACGCGCCTAGGGGCGGCTCTGGGAGCCGACGGCTGGGGACCGACTCACCCCAGGACCATTTTTTGCGCCGGCTCACTCCCAGGCGGCGCTTTTAGACGCCCCCTGGGGGCCAACGGCTGAAGATGCCCTTAGAGAGCCACAGCCAGACATCGATCCTAATGGATCCCAATTTAAACGATCTCATCCCATACAGAGCGAAAAATCACATGTAAGGGGACAAGGCCTATTACTGAGGGAATCCATGGCCACCCGAGTAACCAAGATTATAATGGTGATTTCTGTACGTGCAAAATTGAGGGATACGCCTAATCATCAGGATTGGGTATACTCTTTATGAGACACATCAATTGCACAGAGAAGGTTCATCATATCAGGACATGGAACTGTCACTTTTCATACAAGTATCTTACAAATGAATTTCATATAAACTGAACACCCACATTGATTTCAGCAAATTTTTACTTTATTTGTTTAGAAGGGTAGGCTTATTCTGTAAGCATGAAATTTGATTCTCGAAACAGGCTATCGTCCCATTTTATAGATACAACTCAGGGTGGACACGGTCCGGGCCGGTTCGGTCCCGTCCGAGCCGTCGTTTGGTCCGGCCGCCGGCGGACCGAGCAGCATGACGGTCCTGATTTCAGGCACCGGACCGGCGATGACCAAGCCCGGGCCGGACCGACTGGACCGAGAGGACCGGCCAACGACCACCGGCGGCGACTTGCCGAGGTGCAGCGGCGAGGTGTACGGCGTGCGCGGGTGCTTTGGCGAGGTGGGTGACATGCGCGAGCGCCGGTGTCGAGGTGGGCGACGTGCCGAGGGAAGTGCGTGGGCACGGCGGCTCTTTGCCATGAACGCGCACATGTTTGTTCTTAGCAGTTTTTCTGTCGCATGCAAGTAATCTATCGTGTGCATGAGCCCACGATTTCTCGTGTGCGGGCCTTGCGTGATTAGCGGATCAAATCAGACGTGGAGTTAACCGTCAGATGGTGACATGAATTTTAAATCAAACCTTCTTTCTCTCGTACTTTCAGTTTTCTGTTTTGACTGAATAAAAGGAAACGGCACCGTGGGATTACGCATGATTATAGGAAGCTCACTGTATTAAATCTAGCACCTTCCAAAACAGCACTTGCCTGGTTTTTTGTACGAGAAAATCACGGCTGAGCTTTGCTCCCACGATCCGAAAATCACGGCCGAGCGTCTTATGTGTGCGTGCTGTGCTTTGCTAAAACTGTTGCCGTGAACCAGAACTCGCGAACGGCGGCAGTGCACGCACGGCATCGACGGTGAGCGGCGGTAAGTGGCTATGGGGCACGAAGAGGAGAACAAGGAAGGAAAGGGCAAGCTCGGGGACACGGTGGTTCACCCAGGGGCCGCCGGTGGCCGCGACGATGACTGCATTTCTCGGTCGGCTCGGTCGGCTCGGTTAAAGACCGTCCGGACCGACATTTTCTCGGGCCTGATATGGCAGACCGGACCGTCCAATTTATGTAGGGGCCAGGATTGAGCGGGCAAAGACTGAACGGGCCACGAGCGGGCTAGAAAGCCCGCTCGGTACGTCCACCCTGAGATACAACACCAAGCAGGCTCCACATATAATGCAAACATAAGTTTGAACAGGAAGTTGAACAAAGCAAATAGTGTGCTAGGACAACAACATAAGCACGAAAAGCAAAGTAGAACAAAGATACAGGACGCCACCTGCGCGCCCCCGGCCGTCCACAAACAAAATTTGTTTCTGAGAGCCAAGGATAGAGAATCTGGTCATATATTAGTATGGAAGGATTCCCAGGTCCTTGCCGTACTTGATGATGTCGTCGTATATTTCATCCAGGTTCTTGAACTTGTACTCGAACCCTTCCCCGAGGAGCTTCGCCGAAGAAATGCAGACTCTCGGCTTCTCCAGAAGACCGCAGAACCTGAAAAACGAACACTTCCTTAGATACACACATCGTCACTGCGCACGGTTGAGAAAAGAACAGGCCATGAGACAGAGAGGAGTCAAGAGACGTCCGTACGCACCGGTCGGTGTTGACGTTGTAGTGCGGGTACTTGGCCGCCAAGAAGCGGGCTAGCTCCACTACGGTGGTGTTAAGGCTGCAGCAGATGTACCGCCCCGACGCCGCCTCCTCCTCGGCCACGAATATCTCAGCGCGGCAGATGTCGTCGACATGGACCAACGGAATGGAGCCAGACATCCTCACGATGAATTTAAGGGTGCGGACCCTCGCTTCATCGCCTAACGATAATTACAAACTGATTTATTTATTTATTCGTGAATATGCAAAGTTTGCGTATTAGAAGAAGTTAATGTAACGAACACAACACTCATTCAGAACGGACGTTTGTTTGCTGAATCTTTCTTTGCTAGTTCCAGTTGAGAGCTCACCCGAGAGCAGCGAGAGGACGTCAAGGACGCTGGGATGGACCTTGGCCGCCGGCGCCGCGCCCACCATGAGGCCCGGGCACACAGTGACGAGGCTGATGCCGTTCTCCAGCGCGAACGCGCTCGCCGCCTTCTCCAGTCGCACCTTGGAGACAGGGAACCCCTACACAACGGTAGGCCAGCGTCATCATCGTTTCGAATGACTCAACGAACTGAAAATCAAAATACTCATGTGTGTGTACCCAAGCATGGGTCTTTCCCGACGTGAGGAACTCGACGTCGGCCCAGGATTCCTCATCCAGGACATGACCGTCGCCTTCCTGCGGCAAGGTGGAGACCGCGGCCGCCGACGATGTCAGCACCACGCGCTTCACTGTTCCCGCTCTGACGCACGACCTCATCACGTTCAGGATCCCGTGGACGGCCGGCTCGATCACATCTTTCTGCAATCACCATACGTTGTTTCAGAATGCGTGCCTCAGACATTGGGTTTAGTGCTTGTCGCGTGTTTAATTACCTCAGGGTTCTCTGCGTGGAGGTTCACCGGAGGGGCGTCGAAGAAGACGTAGTCGCAGCCGGCGACGGCGTCGTCGAAGCTGCCCTCTTCGTCGAGGTCGGCGCGGAACACCTCCAAGGGGCCGAGCGCCTGCAGATCTTTCAGGTGCTTGTTTTTCACCTTGCCATCTGTGGAGCCCATAAATCAAACAGATCCGTTTAAGTTCTTGGCACATACCCGCTCAGTCCTCAAATAAGTGTCATAATATAAGAGCGTTTTTGACACTATACTGGTGTTAAAAACGCTCTTATATTATGAGACGGAGGGAGTATATAATTAATGAGTAATTAGTTAATCGAATCCAACATCAGCCATGAGCTCAGATCCAAACGGAAAATCTAGCTAGGGAAATAATTAATATAGTCTTACCGGGGTTTCTGAGGGTGGTCTTCACGGCGTATCCCTTCTCCAGGAGCAGCTTGACTAGCGCCGACGCGACGTAGCCGTACCCACAGGGGACACACGCCGTCTTCCTCCTCGTCCCATCTCCTGCCGCTGGCCCCATATCGTTTGCCGCCCACTACAACTTCTACCGGCAACTCAAGTCCGGACGGCCTAAGTTCTGTCCCTCACTTGCTCTGGTGGAGTGGTGGTGCTTGTGTGCATTTTTGCAGACTAACTCATGGACCTACATAGGAAAATATCCTGTGGAGCATAGGCTTAGGTGCACCCCCTTATCTGGCCATCCATCTCTGCATCGCGATTCGTGCAAGAACTTTTCTCTTTTTTGTTTCTTCCAAATAAAACAACATATGAACTTAAAACTTTTGCAAGATAGCAAAACATTCTTACTACAATGAGAGAAAAAACTTTCAGATTTTTTGGTCCATCATAAGTATTAAAAATAACATTTTTTAATAAAGAAAATCTCATTTTGTATATTAATATCCGTCAAAAAAATCTATAAGTTTTTTCTCTCATTGTAGTAAGAATGTTTTGCTATTCTGCGAAGTTTGAAGTTCATATGTTGTTTTATTTGGAAGCAACAAAAAAGAGAAATTTGTACGCTGTAAGTTAGTTGTCTAGCACGGATCTCAAAGCTATATTGGAGGGCATGGATAGAAGGTGTCCATGAGCCTAAGCTCTAAAAATCCGCGTCCGACCTACATAAATAAGGAAGCACTTTGTACTAGCTCGTGGTCTATCTTCCATTATATTCCACAAATGCCAACCAGGGAATATAATGGCAAAAGATATATTCCACAAATGCCAACCGGGGAATATAACGGTAAAAGATATATTCCACAAATGCCAACCGGAGAATATATTATTCCATAAATAATATGTTGAACTGAATGAATAAACAAAAGATGCGCATATATGTGGCTCAATGCCAACGGGGAAAATAGTCGACAAAACAATCAAAGCGTCATTATGGTCCACACTCCCGCAACCATGGAGGCCCTCTTGCATGGTTCGAAAATAGATAAAACGAAATTGGGGTTAACCCCTCAATCGGGAAAGAAAACGGAAATGGCTATGGATAAAACCATCAATGGCTCCCATGTGCAATAATAGAGGGTATTTTTTAAACAATTTTTATTTTACAAAGTCTCAAAACTATATTCCAGCTTAAATCTTTCTCGGTTCTATGACCCGGTTGTTCTTGTAGCTGACGATGAGTCACTTTTCATCCCCCTGAAGAACGAAGAGACGACTTTCTTCTTGTGGTAGACAAAGAACAACTCTTTGTTCCCTAGGAGAACAAAAAGATGTTTAACAGTACAAAGTGCACAAGCAACCTCACAAATGACCATCTATCCCGGCTGCCTTGTAGCTCCCTGGCCGAACCCTCCTGCCAGCAGGACCACATCGATGTGAAGAATCCATTTCAACGAATATGAGCGTGAACAGTAATTGCGGAGCCTGAGATGGGTTTGAACTGCGGCAAACCTCTGCTGGATCTGCAGGAGAACCACTGCCACTAGATGCATCGCCAGCACCGCCGCCGCCGCCATCATCACTGCCACGCGAGGTGGCCATCACCGACGGCGAGCAGGGGCGAGAGAGGAGAGGGGCGCGGGGCGAGAGAAAGGAGAGGGGCGTGGGCGGACTGTCTAACCAGGACCAACCGGCGCGGCGTCTTGACTGTTTTGGTCCTAACGGCGCCGTTTGCCTGGCCGCCATGCCACGTACACGTTTTCGGGGGCCACCTGTTGGAAAAGAGATCAAACGAGGCTAAACGGCCGATCAGTGCTTTTTGCAACGAGTTAACAGATTTTTCTGTGTTTTTTGCAACAGATTAACGAGTTGGTAGTTTTCTGCATACCTAGTCACAAATATGATGGTTTTTTGCAATTGACTCGATGCAGGTGGCTATAACAACAACTTTCACAATGGGTTCTACCCCACCGACTAGCGGCGGCTGGCCGTTGGTCTCCTCCATTCAACTTCTTGCCCTCCCGCTGCTGGTCTCCTCTAACAAGTCCCCGATGCTGTCATATATTCTCTTCGATTTACTAGTCTACTAAATCTGCAACACTTATTTTTGGACTGAGGGAGTACTAGTCTTTAAGGCTCCTGTATCTTTGATGTATTGGTCTTTTGGTTTCGTGCATCATCGATAATACGTCCATGCCGACCGTTTGTCACTAGTAGAAAAAGGGCCTATAGTCCCGGTTGGTGAGGGCCTTTAGTCCCGGTTCATGAACCGGGACTAAAGGGTCGGTACTAATGCCCTGACCCTTTAGTCCCGGTTCAATCCAGAACCGGGACAGATGGGCCTCCACGTGGCCTGTCCGTTGAGCCCAGGCAGGAGGGCCTTTGGTCCCGGTTGGTGGCACCAACCGGGACCAATAGGCATCCACGCGTCAGCATTTCTGTGGCTGTGCTTTTTGTTTTTTTTTGAAAGAGGGAGGGTTTGGGGGCTTTTGGGGGGTTAATTTAGGTGTTTCATATATTGTGCTATAGCTAGCTAATTAATAGAGAGAAGTGTCCTCTCTTTTGTCCGTGCTTGGTCGACGCTACGTATCATACATACGTATAGAGAGGACTAGCTAGACACACTAGCTAGCTAGTAAGCAAACAGAAGATGGTCATGAACATATATGCATACAGAGAGAAGTGATATCGACCACCTCTCCTTCTCCGAGAGATTGGTCGAACAACAAGTTCTCGTATATCTATCCGACACTACCAGCTACATATATACAATAATTATCTTTTACAAATATATAATCTCCTAACATACGGACGCGTGGTCCACATAGTATTCTCCGTCTTCAGCGATCACGTGGTCAAGAAAGAATGCCGCCAATTCCTTTTGAATTGCTCACATGCGATCTGGTGCTAGGAGTTCATCCCGCATCCGAAACATCTAATTTTAAGAAGGGGGTCAATACATATATATATATATATATGAATGAATGAAACTCAACACAAATGATGGTAATAAAATAAAATTGTGAATATTGTTATTTACGCACTTCATATTGTTTGTCGGAGTAGCCCCGCTCACAGGTCGTGTGGCGGATGGACTCGCAAATGTAGTATCCACAGAAATCATTCCCTTGTTCCTACCACAACCACTTTACAAGAAATAGAGGTCAATCAAACTGATAAGTAGCAAGCATGCTAAATGGTATTGATGAAACTAGCGCTTGAATCACTAGGAGATGCGTGGAATATGCTACTATATAGTACTTACTTTCGGGTGCCTAAATTGCAGCTTCTTCGGTAGTCCCGGAGCTTTTTTGGTGAATTTTCTCCAAGCCCTGCCATACAAAGAAAACAATTACTTGATATCAGAAATGAACAAAGTTGCTGATATGGTGGATAATGATCGATTTAACTTACTTCTCAAGCATTTCAGTCATGTCCGCATACTCCTTGGGATCTTTTCGCTTGGAGTCTAAGACAGTTACTACTCCCTTTTCAGGCTTAATCTCTAGGAGAATATAGTGGTAGCTGCGCACACATGCATAACTCATCAATATTACATTAACATAACCTGGACTAATAAGGAAACCGAATATGCCACAAGGCAGTAACACTAACTTGAAGTTGTAAGGAAAGAGTATTATATCTTTGTGTTCATTTATTTCCAACGATCGTAGCAAGTTGGCCTCAGTTTCTTGGGCACGATATTCAACCTCAGTTGCATCTATGAGATACGTGTTAATGAACCCAATATCTCCCACTTGTCTTTTCTTCAATTCAGCGATCTTCAATCTGCATAATATAGTGAGGATAATTATAAATACATGCAATGAAAGGGCTGAGTTATATAGAGAGACTTAATGACAGAAGTAGTACTACTTACAGACAGTAGCAGGTGACCGTTGATTTATCGATGGCCAATTGATTGAAAAACTGATAGAACTCCTCAAATGGAATAGGCAACAGTTCAATTCCAAGGAGGTCATGCTCCTTTTTAACTCTCACATACAAAGTACTCCTCCCCTCAGACTCTTTGCAGGTTTTCATGTACCAATCATGCAATCTTCGCATCATCGTTGATAGAGAACTTTCATCTTTTACGAGAGGCTTCCGTACTCGTATCTTTGTATCTGCACCTCCAAGAAATCATAATGTACATCGTCGGGTAGGTAATCTGCAGGATTGCCATAACCGGGCACCATCCTCGGATCGATGATGTCGCTAGCAGGCACCTTGAGCGGGGGGCACGATTGCTTCGCTTGTTCGCCGAGCTGGGCAATTTGTTTCCCAGCTCGTCGTTCTTTCATCCTTTGATCACTTTTAGTACTTCCCGACCTCTCCGCTTCGGCAAATGCCTTTCCAATAATGCGCTCATAGTTGCCTTTCGGCGGAGACTTGGGTGGTTTTGTCAGGGCAGCCAGAGTGCACTTCGCTTTCACCGGATCTACCTTCTCCTCCGGAGGTGGATGTCTCTTTGCTTTCAACCCTTGAAACCAGTCATCCACTTCGGTCTGCGCGATCTTCGCGTTTTCCTCCTCGCTCCTCTTGTACGGTAACTTCTCTGGAGTCTTCAGAGAAGGACCGAATCTGTATCTCCTCCCGCCTTTGGCTGTACTGCTAGACGCCGGCAGAGCAGACGGAGCGGATGTCTTCTTTCCTTGCTTACGAGACGGAGGAGAAGGACTACGACGCGCCGGAGCAGCCGGAGCGGCGGCGGATCTCTTCCGCCTTTGCTGACGAGGCAGAGAAGGAGGAGGATGGCTGCTCGGGCGCGCCGGCGCAGGCAGAGAAGGAGGCGGAGTGCCGCCACACGCCGGAGAAGGAGCCGGCCGAGTGCCCTGATCGTCACTCGCCGGAGGAGGAGGCGGTGGAGGAGGCGGAGTGCCCTGACTCGCCGGAGGAGGAGGCGGAGTGCCCTGACTCGCCGGAGGAGGAGGAGGAGGCGGAGGCGTCCAGTTCTTAAGGTTGATGAGATCCTTCCGCCATAGGCATGGAGTCTTCAGAGCAGAACCCAGCCGATACTCCCCTTCACCGGTAGGGTGGTCAAGCCGGAGGTCCTCAAATCCCTCCGTTATTTCATCGACCATCACCTTAGCATATCCTTCGGGAATCGGCCGGCAGTGAAAA